CAGAAGAATGCAGTGCTAGGAACAGCTCAGATACTGCGCAGAACCCTCAAACTCCCAGGCCTCTGGTAGAGTTCCTGAGATTGAGGAAGACACATACCACCCGGAGGGTTGAGAGGGGAATTTTATTTTTCATACATACTAGGAGTCTCTGAATCAGCTGTCATTCAGTTTCGTTTGAAGAGAGTGTAATTTTATTTATTCATGTATTCATTTATTAAATTTTATTTTACAGGTTGAGTTTTGAAGGTAATCCAATTTGATTCAAGCTGTTTATTGATTCAATATTCCATTAAAAAAATTAGCAGTTTGTAACAGAGAAGCTTCAAAATACAGAATCTGATTTTGCAGGTTGAGTTTCATTAGAAGACTTCCTTCCTTCCTCCCTCCCTCCCTCCCTCCCTCCCTCCCTTCCTGACATACTCTTATCACTTACTCTTCTTACAAGCCAAGTTTCCATGTCCCATATTCCTTAGCCTTTACTAGATGGGTCACAGATGCTGACTTTTCAGGAAACTAGGCTTGCTAAAAGATTTGCTACCACTGTTTGTATCAATAGCATCAATTTTTTCCAGATTAGTGCCTTTTATTTCTGGTAAGTAATTGTTTTAGAATAGGTGCTATCTACAAGCCAGTATGAGCCCACTACAGAGTGTCATTGTCCAGGATGACACATCCAATCAATCTAGACTTACAACATTTTACCTTGACATGGTAATACTCATCTAAATTTGAATATACTGTGGTGGGCTTGGTATAATGTTCTAGTTCTCTTCATGTAAACTTACTCTTGTCCCATTGATAGGTGAATTTACAACAGATTGCCTCATTTGAAGTTTATGCATCCTCTGTTCTTCTGTTAATGGGTAAAAAAAAGTGCTAATCCTCACTCTTCACAATGTGTCACAAAATTTATTTCCCCTTATAGTGAACTCACGAAAGCATTTTAAAATGGAAGGGGAATGCTGTTTTTGTATGTCAGAACTCAGTTATTATATCTGCACATGTTATGTGTTGTCAAATGGCCTCAGATTAACCAAGCGTTCAGTCAGAAACTTAAAATTAAATTTTGAGTTGATGTCAAGTGTCGCCACTAGGTCCTATTAAGAACTGATTTTTTTATTGGATCATATTCTCATGGAGGCAAGGATTAAAGAAAACTCCAGTTTAAAAGAAAATAAGCTGGAGATCAAGCACTATGGAAATTTTAAGTTAGATTATTTCCTGCTGCAAATTTCTGTTTGTATGAACATAATTTTCATTTTCTCACACATTAATGGGCAAGAAACTCCTCCAATCAAACAGAACTTTCCCTAATATTGCACTACAGCTGTGAGGCAACTGCTTGATTCTGGAAAAAGATGAAGCTTTTTAAGGAGTTACAAATAGGGGGTGGATTTTTGTCCTCATATTCGCTAAAGCATTTTTTTTTTCCCTTTGTGTTTTAGGCCTGCCTTTAGAATCAAGAACACATTCCTCGTACCTCACCTCTCTCATCTCAAAAACTTTTCTTCACTATTTGTTGACTGATTGTTCAACTGAAGGATGGAATTGCATTTACTGTACTTAGAATTGAGAATATTCTTAATTCCACAGAGAAATGGAAATGTAAGGGATGCAATTTACTCTCCCTCTTATTATTATCAAAAAAACTATTATTATACTTGCTGCTTCTCAAAGGCCTGATTGCCAGTTTATTCCTACAAAGAAAAATGAGCTCCGAGAATGTTTAAATATTCAATTTTTTTAAAAAAATATTCTTAAAGTTTAGGAGCAGGTGAGATCATTATCAGAATAATCTCTCAGAAGGGGTTTTATTCTGAGTTTCAGAACAGATTGGGAGTTATGTGAGGAACAGAGAGAGATTCAGCTCAAGCTTTCACATTCTTGAAAACTTAAGCATTCTAAGGGAGTGAGAGAAACTGAGTTCAGATTAACATCTAACATGATATTGATTCTTCTACTATTGTTATTGCCATATATGCTTTGCAAGACTGAAATAATAAAATGCAGAATCAGAGATCCTTTTCCAATTGCTCACAGTTATTTCCAACCTGGTGACCTAATCATTGGTGGCATTAGTTCTTTTGTCTTCATAACTAGAGATATGGAAACCTTTGAGGAAAATCCCTGTCATTATGTGGTTGATGAACCCCTGTATGTTATAATTCTTACTTTCTTTCTGTAATCTATACCACAGTAGATGATATTCTTTATAGAACTATTCAATGAATCTGAATGAGCTGCAGTGATGTAAATATACATTTTCCAAGCTAAAATGTCAATGAGATTACACATTTCAAATATTATTTCCTTGCATTTTCTAAATGAAACCAACTAGATTCTTTGTTCCTTAAATCAAGAGGGAAAAAAAATAAACATCTATTACTTCATAATTAGCAGAATCTGACAATACAAACACACACACACACACACACACAGAGCCAGTAGTAGAGGGATTATAGCATCAGCTCCTCAAACTGACTCTGCATAAAATGTTAAATTGTATTGAACTATAGGAATAATAATATTCAATAGGAGATACTGCATAATTTATCTCAGTAAATGAGGCAAGAAAATTCTACACATGAAGTTTTCTTCAAAGCATAATTATATGATGTACTGAAGCTCTTATTTTGGGGGAGCAGAGGGAGATGGGAGAAATACCTGCCCTCATTGTTATTTAATTAGTAAAATGTTCATTCTTTGTTAATCCTTCTAATTTTTTTCTCTCCCAATGTCACCATTACAGCAAGTTACCACAGCTAAGCTTACCAAGACATTACAAATCACATCAGTGCCATTTTTTTTTTTTAACATTTGTTGTTAGGGGAGAAAAGTTTGAATTTTGTATTATATTAAATGGTATGTTTAATATGCAGAGATTTTTGAATACCATAAGAAGTTAAAGCAATACAGTCTATGCCATACTAAATAATTCTCTGTGGTTCTTTAGGAGTCACAGTTGGTGAACTTCAACAAAGGATGTCTCATTTGTTGGGAAAAGCTAAACCAGACTAAATTCAAGATCTATGCCATTTCCTTCTAAACCCTTAAATTAAAATGAAGCTTTCTCTAGGAAAATAATAATAATAATAATAATAATAATAATAATAATAATAATAATAATAATAATA